GGGTCGATGCTCAACCACTGAACCACACCAGCTGGGCAAGAATTTTTTTAAAAATAAGTTTTGGTATTAACAGAAGACAAATAGATCAACGTTAACAGGATAGAGTCCAAATATAGACCCCTGCCTATATGGGAATTCAATAATAATAATGTGATGTTTCAAATCAATAGGAAAAGGATGAGCTATTTCACAAAGGTTATTAGGACAACTGGCAATCTATTCATAGAGAAAAGGAAAGTTAGATCCCTCTCATATTTAAAATTATACAAGTACTGGAAAAAAAATATAGAATATGTTTTATGACCTGGATAGGGAAGGAATATAAATGCATAAAGGAAAAGACTGACTAAATCTGACTAAATAAAATTTCCGCACAATAAAAAAAAATAAACAAAATTAAAAGACAAGTTATAGAATGGGGAAAAGTTTGCCACAGACATAATATCCAAAGGATGATATACAGAAGTCCTGCAGATCAGTATAATAAAAAAAAAGACAACAGAAATTAGCTCAGAAGTATCACTGGATCAAAGGAGAAGAAATCTAAAGATCCAATGAAAATATGAAACAATATTCAACCATACCAGTAATCAGGGAAAACAAATATTAAAACACTGAACTGAGTCCATAATATTTTCCATTAATTAGTAAAAATTCTTAGTGCTAATAGTAAAAGGAGATATTGTAGACAAAGGTGTATACATTTGTTCTGCAGTACTAACAATTAATATTTTAACTGCACACATCTTATGAACCAATAATTTCATGTATCTTGAAACACAGGTGCACAAAAAAGGCGATTTTACTACAAAAAGGCAATGTTGCTACAATGTTGTAATAGTCAAAAACTGGAAGTAATGTAAATGTCCATCACTAAGGAAATGGTTAGACAACCTTTAATACATACGACATTCAATACTTTGCAATTTAAAGAAATGAATATAGAAGACAGCTAAGGAAAAATCTCCAAAACATATTGTTGAGTAAAAAAGCACAAAGAACAATACTAAATGATACCATATAAGTAAACAAAATATATTTCTATGAATACACATTCATAGGAATAAAAGTTGGAAAATTCTGAACAGGAACATACCAAATTGATAGTAGTAGTTATCTATTAAGTAGTGAATGGGCTTGGGAGGTGATTATAAGAAATTAAAACACTACAGAGCCCTGGCCAGTCTTGCTCAATGGTTAGAGCATCAGCCCTCGAACCGAGGGGTCTCAGTCAATTCCCAGTCAAGGGCACATACCTGGGTTTTGGGTTTGATCCCTGGTCCCAGTGGGGGTCGTGCAGAAGGCAACCAACTGATATGTCTCTCATCAATGTTTCTCTCTCTCTCTCCCCCTCCCTTCCACTCTATCTAAAAATCAATGGAATATATCCTCAGGTGAGGATTAACTAAAAAATAAATGTATAAGGGCAGTGAAATATTTTTTAATATATCAGTTTTACAGTTAAAAATATTAACATGAGAAAACATTTTTTTGCAATTTGAGGCAAGGATTAATTTTAACAGTAATACCTGATATTGGCAAAGGTGTAAGAAAATTAGTATTATCAAATTCTACTTATGTAAGTGTACAATGATACTGCCCACCTGTACAATTTAAAAAAATAAATACAATTTAAAATACAGCCCTGGCCGGTTTGGCTCAGCGGTTAGAGCGTCAGCCTGCGGTCCGGAGAGACCCGGGTTCGGTTCCCGCTAAGGGCATATACCTTGGTTGCAGTTTGTCCCCGGCCCTGGTTGGTCGTGCGGGTGGCAGCCACTCGATGTGTCCCTTTCACATCGATGTTTCCCTCTGTCTCTCTTCCTCTCTCTCCCTCCCACTCTATCTGTACAAAAAATGGAAAAATGTCCTCGGGTGAGGAAAAAAAAAAAAAAATACAGCCCTAGCCAGTTTGGCTCAGCAGTTACAGCGTGGGCCCTTAGACCAGAGAGTCCCGGATTTTGTTCCCACTAAGGGCACATACCTTAGTTGCAGTTTGTCCCTGGCCCCTGTTGGGGCCATGTGGGTGGCAACCAGTCGATGTGTCTCTTTCACATCGATGTTTCTCTCTCTCTCACATCAAAATTCTACTTGCAGGAATCACACCCTCTTCCATCCACTCTAAAGGTTAGCCACTCTCCTGATTTTTATAATAATCATTTCCTTGCTTTCTTTATATTTTTACCTCTTATGTAAACACCCTACACTAATTATACAGCATGCTAAACTACTATACCAAAAAGAATATAATGGTTCAAACATAACAGAAATTTAATTCTCTGTGGGAGGGAATTGTGGGTTGTCAGGGGTCAACACTGTTAAGAATCTCAGTCTGATGGTGGCTCTGCCATTCTTAGCACATGACTTCAAATACTGCTGTGATGACTGCCATCCTAGCCCACGGAAGAGTACAAGAGCACTGAGAAGCATGTATGGGAAGCTTTATGAACCAGATGCAGAAGTGGCACGCAATTCCACCCATACCAGTGAAGAAAAATTTTGTCACATGCGAACACCTAACTGCAAAAAAAGGCTGGGAAATGAGGTATAGCTTGGCAGTCATGTGCCCAACTACAATTCTATTATTATGGAAGAAGGAAAGAACAGATTTTGATGGACAGATAGCAGTACTTCTACATTATCCCTAAGCCATATAGCTGCATTATGCCCGGTTTTGAATTTCAAATTAATGGAAACATATGTGATTATTTTGTATCTGTCTTCTTTTGTTTGTGTTTATGTTCTTTGGGAAGAAACTGTCTTAAACAATGTGCAGAATATGGTACAGAAAGAAAAGCTCAGGCTGGGAATCATGCTACCTCACACCTTCTAGAGACTGCCTTTCCTCATACACAAGTAAGGAGTTAATAAATGTGCTCTCTTAATCTACATGACTGAGCATGCTATCCACTCATCTTTAGTCAAATATGTTACTTCCAAGCTTTTATATCATGAATTTGCACTGAGCTAGTCATTCCACTCACTTTCCCCCCAGCATTCCCTCTCCAGCAAGACTGATAACTGGCATTTGTATAATGTCTGTTTGGTGTACCAGGTACTTTTTATATCTAGCAACCACAGCAATATTAACTGGTTTGAACTTAGGCCCTTATGCCCTGACCTCATTAACACTATATTCTAGCTAAGCTAATTCACCAAAGACTACACATGAAATATTTCAAGCTAATTATTAACTATTTGCTTCAAAGAAAATACTTCAACAATATTTTTCTTTCTGTCCCTGGCAGGTGTGGCTCAGTCGGTTGGGCATCGTCCTGTGCAGTGAAAGACCACAAGTCATATTCCCGGTCAGGGCACGTGCCCAGGTTTCAGGCTCCATCCCTGGTGGGGGATGTGCAGGAGGCAGCCAATCGATGTTTCTCTCTCATATCGATGTTTCTATCGCTCTCTCCTTTCCTCTCTCTCTAAAAAAAAAAAAAAAAATAGAAATTTTTTTAAAAACTTAAAAAAAAATTTTTTTATTATTGATTTTAGAGAGAGGGAGGGAGAGAGATAGAAAGTTCCATGAGAGAGGACATCGACTGGCCACCTCCTGCATGCCCCCCACTGGGGATTGGACCCACAACCTGGGCATGTGCACTAACCTGGAATCAAACCAGCGACCCCTTTGTGCATGGGTCAACGCTCAACAACTGAACCACACTAGCTGGGGGGGAAAAAAAATTTTTTTTCAAATCTTTCCTTCTGTTAACAGCGGTTGTTTCTGGATTCAAAACCTGGGTATTTTGAAGGAGCAAAGTAAAGTGAGGCATACTTTTTGTAATGGTTTCAAGATATGTCCAAATTGATACTCCTCTCTTCAAAAAGTGAGGTCTAATTTCCTTACCAATAGTGTGGGCTATATTTGTGATTCACTTCTAATAAACGGAAAGTGGTAAAAGTAATGGTAGATCATAAAAATCATGGAGGCCGCCCTGGTCACTTTGGCTCAGTGGTTAGAGTGTTGGCCCACAGACCAAAGAGTCACAGGTTTGATTCCGGTCAAGGGCACGAACCTCAGATGTAGTTCGGTTCACGGCCCAGGTCGGGTCATGTGGGAGGCAACCAGTCGATGTGTCTCTCTCACGTCGATGTTTCTTTCTTTCTCTCTCTCTCTCTCTCCCCCTCCCACTTTATCTGAAGATAAAATATATATAGATCTCCTCAGGTGAGGATTAAAAAAAAAATCATGGAGGCCAGTGTGTGTGTCTCATCACTGATGGACGTTAGCTGCCATATCATGAAGAACTTAGGCCGACCAATAGAGAATTCCAAATAGCAAGGAACTGAGATCAGCCAAAGCCAGAGAACTTCTCCGGATAAGGAACTGAGACCTTCTACCAACAGCCAGATGAGTGAGCCATGTTAGATTTGAACCTTCTAGCCCAACTCTAGCCTTCATATCACTATAGTTTCAACCAACAGAGTGACTACAATCTCATGGGACTCAAGCCATTAAGGCTAAATTTCTCCTGATTTCTGACCGACACTGTATGACATAATAAATATTTATTATCATTTTAAGCCACTAAACTTAAACACTAAACACTAAAACAAAAAAGAGTAAAAATAAAAAGGAAAGATATTTTTGGCTAATACTTCTAAGTCTTCCATTAACCACCACCCCTTGTTTTTGTTGTGTAAGTACATTAGTACATTGGCTTAAAAACATGTTTTTTATCTTCACCCAAGGACATCCTTGCATTTTATCTTCAGATAGAGTGGGAGGGAGAGAGGGAGGAAGAGAGAGAGAAAAACAAGAGGTTGCCACCCACGTGACCCCAACCAGGGCCGGGGAAAAGCTGCAAGTGAGGTACGTGCCCTTAGCGGGAACCAAACCTGGGACTCCCTGGTCCGCGGGCCAATGCTCCAACCCCTGAGCCAAACCGGTCAGGGCTAAAAACATTTTAATTAAATACTTTTAAAAAGCTGAAGGCAGATAGAGTCATAAATGATCAGCTGAAAAGCAGTTAACATTCACAAAGCCACTGATAAATTCTTACCACCATAAAATCGAAGCATACAGCCGAGGTCAGGATTTGTTGCCTCCTCCTGTATGCGCACAGGATCGTCATATCCCAGCCTGGATAGGTACTCATAAACAATCTGAAGAGGTCGTTCAGTAGGTTCCAGTCTCCTGATTGCAAAAGAAAAATATTTAGTAAGTAATAAAAATGCTTAATTTAATTTGTTAAATCTTTTCATATGCTCTAGATGTTTACTTCTATATCAAGATTTTCTTTAATTTCATATGATACAACTAATGTAAATAAGTGGTGCTCGAAGTTTTTCGTCCCAGGATCCCTCTTATACTCTTTGAGGATCCCAAAAATCTTTTGTTCATATGGGGTATAACTATTGCTATCTACTGAATCAGAATTAAAATTGAGAATTTCAAAACATTTGTTTATTCATTTTTGTTTGTTTTTGGTTTATTCATCTTTAAGCAACAATAATTAACCAATGATATTAACATAAATAATATTCTTTCAAAAATGTATTTTCCAAAATGAAACAACTTTAGTAAAAAGAATAGCATACATTTTTGTAAATTGCTAGTTGGATACAAAACCGCTAGATTACCTGCATCTAAATTCGATCTGTTGTGATAACACTATTTAGCCTTTAGAAAACTCCTCTGTACAAGCATGAAAGACTGAGAGTAAAAAAGAAAATCAGTGCCTTCATTATTACAAAATAGTTTTGACCTCACAGACCTCTTCAAAGAATCTCAGGGACCCCTACATGGTCCTTTAAGAACTTCTGGTCCAAACTTAAAAACAGCAAAATTATGATATAAAAGATTATACGTGGTCATATCTGACTTCATATAAGCTGCACATACAATTAGAGATGCAGACTCTGGATTGCCTATTATGTCCCAGGTACTATATATTTCCACTGGCTTCACAGATGATTCTTCCATAAAAATTAGGAATAAAATGGCCTAATAATTCTCCAGAAATCATTATATTACATGGTCCTAACTAAAAGCTAAAGTAAAATAAGAATGTCTAGTAATGATTTGTGGCTCCTGGTGACACTGCATATTTTGTTTGTTTTATTTATGTATGTATGTATGTATTTATTTATTTATTTATTTATTTATTTTTATCCTCACCTGAGGACATTTTTGCATTTGTATCTTCAGATAGAGCAGGAGGGAGAGAGGAAAGGAGAGAGAGAGAGAAACATCAATGTGAGAGAGGCACATCGAGTGGTCACCACCCACACGACCCCAACCAGGACAGGGAACAAACTGCAACCAAGGCACGTGCCCTTAGCGGGAACCAAACCCAGAACTCTCTGGTCCGCAGGCCCACACTCTAACCGCTAAGGCAAATTGGCCAGGGCGACACTGCATATTTTAAATCACATAGATTTAAAATACTTTAAAATATTTTTTTAAAAAAAGGATCAGCCTGGCCCTGGCCAGTTTGGTTCGGCAGTTAAAGCATCAGCAGTTAGACCACTCAATGTGTCCCTTTCACGTCGATGTTTCTCTCTGTCTCTCTCCCTCCCACTCTATCTGAACAAAAGATGGAAAAATGTCCTTGGGTGAGGATAAAAAAAAATTTTTTTAAAAAGGATCACCCTGGCCGGTGTGGCTCAGTTTGGTTGGGCCTCATCCTGTGCACTGCAAGTTTGCCGGTTCAATTCCCAGTCAGGGCATATGCCCCGGCTGCAGACTCAATCCCTGGTGGAACGTGCAGGAGGCAGATGATCGATGTTTCACGCTCACATAACGATTCTCTCTCTCTCCCTTCCCTTTTCTCTACAAATCAATAAAAATATTTTTTTAAATGATCAGTATGTATTTCGATAGGGCTACATCAATAATAACAGCAAGACAGTTCTTTTACAATTATTTTATAAAAAAGCAAACAGTTATAAATACAGTGGCTAAGAGTATAGGCTCCAAAAGTCACACTGCCTTGGACTGTGTGTCTCTGTTCTGCCACTTACCAACTAAATGCCCTTGGACAAGTTGTGTAACCTCATTGTCTTAAATTCCTCATCAGTCTAATGGGAATAACAGTACCTAACTTATAGAGTTGTTATTAAATGTATTTAATTACAACAAGATATCATATCGTATGTAACATTCTTAGCAAAATATCTTGCATGTAGTAATTGTCAATAGCATATCAATAATATTTTAAAATATCTTAAGACTAAAACCAAATTTTACTTAGAATCAAAACAGAATATTTCCCCACCTGAGAAAACAAATAACCAAACCAAAAAAAAAAAAAAAAAGTATAGGAAAGTCTATGTACTTTAGAAAAGTTCTGAAGAACATTAGTCTTTATATCTTAAAAGGATTCTGCTTAGAAAACTTAAGAATTGTATTGATTAGAAGCAACATCATACAGCTCCCATCATGGCAAAAATATATGAAGAACATCTGTTCTATGGTTAAAGAACTAGAAAATACTGTTGCCAATAAGATTTAAGTAAAAATAACATGAATGCTATAAAGCTGAATGTAAACAAATGGATCAAAATGATCATTTAGGAGTGAAAATCGTACTGATGAGCAAAAAAAATAAAATAAAATAAGATAAAACAACCACCTGGCCCCTCTTATTTGCTCAGTTCAGACTTTTAGCTTCTATAAACTCAGAACTACTACATGGGGAATGACCAAAGAACTAAACGCCTATGAAGACCAATAAATATTGAATTTAATAAAAACAAAAAAAAATCTTTTCAGAATAAAAATATCAGTTACATTTAATTTCTAGTCAAATAAAATGAAAATTCACAAAGGGCTATGACGGACAATATTAGGCATTTTCCCCATGCAATAGAATGCTTCTTTAAAAATAAGATGCATTCTAAGAGGGGCTTCTAATAAACTGTCTCCTGGGAAAGTCAATTAGCTATGTAATATGAAGACTGACTGAAGGATTAACTTGAAGACAAGGAGACCAAGGGCACAAAGAGCTAACTATATCTTCCAGTGTCAAAAAGGATTAGACTTATTCTGGACTGCTCTAAAGAATGGGACTAGGAACAATGAGAAGTTGTTGCACAAGTAAAAGGGTTAAAAATGATGAAAAATATTTGAGCTGCCCATAACGAAACAGACTGCCTCTCAAAATAGCTCACTGAGCTAGAGAGCCATCCATCTGTCACCAATATTTTAGAAGAGATTCCTTAAAAATCACATTGGACTAGATGATCTTTAAGGTCTTTTAGAACTCAAGAATCTATTCCATATCCAAGATACCTTTCTAACATAACACAAATTCTACCTATCCTGATACTATTTTTGGATACAGAGTTTAAAACATCAAAATTCCAACAATGATCAGGACCGAGAAATAATACTTTCAGGTTAAATCTGGCTAGCTCAATTTTTTAATTCTTTCTATAAAACAAAGGGAAATGAAAACTTCCTAATTCTGACATATTTGACACAATCAAATTTCCTTTCCTAATAAGGCTCTGTCGCCTGGCTGGTGTCTCAGTGGACTGAGCATCATCCCATAGACTGAAAGGCCCAGGTTCGATTCCTGATCAGGGCACACGCTGAGGTTTTGGGCTCGATCCCCAGTAAGGGGCATGCAGGAGGCAGCCGATCAATGTTTCTCACATCAATGTTTCTCTCTCTCTCTCCCTTCCTCTCTCTATAAAAAAAAATCAATGAAAACATATTTTTTTAAAAGGCTCTGTAGATTGATGTTATTATAGAATTACACACCTGAAATCCAGAATTTTATTAACCAAGGTCACCCCAATAAATTCAATAAAAAATTAATTTTATAAAAGCCTCTGTAGATTTTGAAACCTCTCTATATTATAATTTCCACATAAAGTATTTTTCCTGTGGGAGGAAAAAAAAATCAAGAGAATCTCCACATCTGCTCTTATTAATTTAGCATAAAGGAGTAAACAAGAAATATTTCAAGAACTACAAAAACAAGTAAAATGAGAGACTAATTCCATTTACTTATTAAACTCATCTGCTTAAAAGATTAGAGAGTAAGAGGGAGGGAAATGCTGTAATATGCTTACAGATCAATTTTGTGTTTCAAAGTTCCAAAAGTTTAACAGGCTGGTAATTAGCTATTCGTTAAAACTCTCACATATCAAAGGAAAATTATATGCTGTAAAACAGGTGTAGGAGAGAATAATGTTGGCAATTAAATGATCCAAGGGCTCAGCATTTGAAATACTTCTAATTGCTTTAAGGAGAGACAGAAAGATTACTGTAATAGTTTTAGTTTACTTCTAAGGCTTCTAGGAGCTACTATGTCCTTTGTAAATCTGAATATATATGCATATGGTTATTTCTCTCCAAACCAGCCAACCAATACAGTAATGCTATCAACATGGATTTCTAGCTCTTAGCCAATAGTATTCTCAACAGTGCTCACAGTTAAGAGAGGAGTAAATTTCATTCCAAGTATCACTTCACAAGAATTTTAGTTAATAGTGGGAGGCAAAAGTTCACATTATTGAAATTCAGCAAAGGGAATAACACATTATATCAAAGACCCTAACAAAGCACAGCAGCACTCTCAACATCAAATTTAGATTAAAACTCAATTTCTGGCCACCCATAAAGGTAAAATCTGCAAATGTTAAAATCAGCAATATACATACTAAGACAAATAGCAACAATAAGGACACTTCAATGAATGTCTACTCCATGCCTGACACTATACTGGAAGCGTTTTACATTTTACTTTGCAAAAGAGAAAAATGGGGCTCAGAGTCACACAATTAATACATAATGGGATCAAGGTTTCAACCTGTGCTGGTTTCATTATAAAACCTAACTTCTTTTAGGCAAGTCACATTACATAGTTAAAATAATTTATGCAGAAGAGAGCTTAAAGCACTTCATATATTAACTTCCACGAAGGAATCTAAAAAGTTGCTTTAAAATTACAGTATTCCAGTCCAACCGGTGTGGCTCAGTGGTTGAGCATCAACCCATGCACCAAGAGGTCGCCACTTCGATTCCCAGTCAGGACACATGCCCAAGTGTGGGCCCAATCCCCAGAGGGAGGCATGCAGGAGGCAGCCAATCAATGTTTTCTCTCATCAATGTTTCTATCTTTCTCTCCCTCTCCCTTCCTCTCTCTCTAAAATCAATAAAGAAAAATAAAATAAAATTACTGTATTCCATTAAGTATAACACATAATTATTTGAAAAATACACTATTCTTGCCTTGGTGGAAGTATCATCCCGTATAATGAAAGGCTGCGGGTTCAATTCCAAGTTAGGGCACAAACCTAGGTTGCAGGTTCAATCCCCAGTTAGGGCACGTATGAAAGGGAACCAATCGATGTTTTCTCTCACATCAATGTTTGTTTCTACCCCTCCCCCAAAATCTACAAGCATATCTTTGGATGAGGATTTATATACATATATGCTAATTTTTATGCATCATTTTTAAAAATTTTAATTTAACGCAGTCCCCCACTACCACAAATTATGCAGTCGAGTTTCCCACATTTGGGGAAATCTCAGGGGTCAGCACATCCGGAGTGCAATGGAGTGCAATGGATAAGCCTCGCCCTAGGGAAAACACCTTGGTGATCATGGTATCTCCCCTTATGCATCATTGTTGTATAACCAAGAATCTTTGTTCCTGGTTCCTAGGAGGGAAATTCTAAATCCTTGGAATTTCCTGAGTAATGGGAGTGTTTTAGTTATTCATGAGCCCCTTGGATCACACCTGAGTTTATACTCAGCAATGTGATGACTCAGAATGGGGACTGGTCACCGGAAAGACCAACCATGTGATGAGAGGACTGGATTGGAACTAGGAGCCAGCCTGACCTTGGGGGAAGAGAGAGGGCTGGAGGCTGAGTTCCAAGCACATAACCAATCGAGTCTACCCAATAAAAACTATATCAAAGTTCCATGGAGCTACCAGGTGAGTGAACACATTAATGTCCTGGGATGGTGACATGGGGGGTAGGAATTAAGTTCTACCTTCAAGTTCTGTGCGTCCTTCTAGTGAATCACTGAAACTGAAGGGACCATGGCAACCCCCAAACTTGTATCCAGTAGGTCAGAAATGTGGCCAGCATCTGAAGTAAGGGAAATCTTTTTGGGGAATATGCCCTCAATTTGTGAAGTCTTTGCAAACTCTGGGTGGTTAGTGTCAGAACTGTATTGCA